AGAACCCAGTCCCTTTCCCTGTCATCATGGGTAAGGCAGGTCCAATATGTTGAAGACACAAGGCTAGATGAATGTAAATGAGGCTTGGAGACTTAGCTGCCTCTTTTTATCGACCCTGATCCAGCTCTACCCCACATCCAGTCAGGCCCCCTCATCTGCTGCCCTCCCCATGCCTTGGGTTCCTAGGAACTTGCCTGCAACTAATCCCCTTGTAGTGGATTCTATCAGGAGAGGGCTAAAAGCAGCACCCCAAGCAACCCAACTGGATAACTACTGCACAGTCCAACCCCTATGTGTGTTTCCCTGGACAGAGATAAAGGATTTGGTGGTCTCCTGTGAGTGGTAGCCAGGACATAGGGTTGGAGAGGAGGGACAGTGACAGAGATGTGAACAACCAGCCTAGGGCACCTGGGGGTCCATCCCAAATGTTCAAAAGAAAGGAAGGGAGACTCCCATCCCACTGGCACTCTGGGAGACACTAATTTCCCAGTTGAAGAAACTAAGACCCAGTAGGTGGCTGGATTTGACAGGAATCAATTGGAAGACGCAGAGTGTCAGGTCTCAGCAGGTGGGAGGACTCAAAGCCTAGGCCTGGGAAAGGAGGGTCAGGACAGGGGCATTGAAGGATACAGGACTCTGAGCTTTTAATGAAAAATAGAGGGCCCTGCTCCCTAGAAGGGAACCTGGTGGAACAGGAGCTTCCGGTGGGAGTGGGGGTAGTGGTAGCGACAAAGGCAGTTTGGCAGAGCAGTGGGGGGCTGGGACTTAAGAGCTCAGGGTCTCGGCCAGACACTACAGACTCAGCTCACACTGTCTCATCCCCCATCCAGCAGGGGCCCTGCCCCCTACCATGGTGCCACCTTGACCCCCTTCCCCAGTGCTGCTCGCCTCCGCTGCACAGCACACACATGCGGGAGGCACACGTGTGAGCATCAAGCCCCGCACAGCAGAAACATGTGCCGTCCCTACCCCCACCGCGCACTGAGCCCCAGACCCTCGGATGGCCTCCACGTGAAGGCTTGGCAGCTGGAACTAGGCTGGGGGGACCCGCGGTCCCCAAGGGCTCGGGGCCTCGTTCCCCACCCCAAGGCAGCCCCGCCCAGCCCCCTTCGGGTTGTCGCCAATAAAGAACTATCCGTTGTCATGGAAATTAGTGACTGCTAAGCTGGAGGGAGGGAATGGGGGGCAGCTGGGAGGGGCTGGAGGTAGCTCTGAGAGCCGGGAGGAACGACTCTGCCCTCGGCCCCCACCCCCAAGAGACACCGCGAATCTTCGAGGTTAATGTTTTCACAATTCGGAGCCCAGCAAGATGGAGTGGAGGGTGAGGGGCTCGGGGTATTCTCTTGGACTTAAGTCGTACATGCCCCACTTCCCCTGGGAACCCGGAGCAGTGTGAGGCGACGGGGAACTTTAGAACGACCTCCACCCCGCCTCCGAATCTGCAGAGCCAGCGCGCTCTGCCCCCGCCCGCCGGGACCCCGAACCCTCACGGCGCCCCCGCGCACTCAGCGCCCAGAACCTCGAGCCGGCGGGACTCAATACCATAGAGCCCCTCAATGTGCCTTCGGGAGGCTCTCCCCACCTCCCCCGGCCGAACCCGCCCCGCACCTGCAGCACTGGTCTGTCACGGAGAGGAAGCGACCGCGGGCTCAGCGGGGCTCCAAGCGCTCCGGGGGCGGCGGGCAGAATCCGCTCCGGGCACGCGGGGCAGAAGCGGCGCCAGCTGCAGCCGCTTCGACTCGCGAACCTCTAGCATCGCCTGCTGCTCCGCGGCAATGGATTCGCACCCCGGGCCGGGGGCGGGCTGGGGGCGGGGCCTCCCTCCTATGGCCCCGCCCCGATTCCCGGAGAAGCTTGACCTGATCCCAAGCGCTGACCAGCTTAACAGGAGATGCCGGAGAAGCTGGTGAGCGCTGGTCTCCCTGGCTGTGACCGGGCTCTCAGAAACTCCCTTAGACCCTCAGACTGGGCAACAAGGGCCGAAGAGACCTTCCTATGCCTATTGTAGGGAACAAGGGTTGGATTTGGCGAGTGTGTGTGTGTGTGTGTGTGTGTGTGAATCTGAGGTCTGGAGCTGCACAAAAGTTCCTCGGCAGGCAGTACTCCCTAGTGGGTGGGGCACTGACCAGCAGCTCAAAGCTGACCCGAAAGGACAGGACAGCGTGAGCAATCTCTAGGGCAGGCTGCTCCACAGACTGGTATTATTACTTGGTTAGGAGCACATGGAGGTGTGTGAGTGGGTTGTCAGTGTGCAGGCTCCAACTCCAGTGGCAGAGCCTCCTATCCCTTCCTGCTTCCCAATCCTGCAAGGCCAAAGTCTTTTCCATCACAAAGTCCCAGTCAGGATGGCTGGTCCAGTCTGCCCCTCCAGTGTGGCACAGAATTTCCCAAGCTATAAAAGTCACCTACTATATGGTGTGGATTGTTTTCTTCCAAGACTAATAAACATCAAACATTTCATGAGCAACAGCTCCATAAACTGTCTGGGTTGGAATATACTGACAAGGGAGAACAGTGGCACCAAAGTGTACTGCCAGGCCTGGCCCGTGGCTGAAGAAAGTTCAGAACTGCCAGCAAACTTTCAAGAAAGTCCTTGGACATTTTTCTGTTCCTTTTTGGAAAAGCAGATAGACACAACATCTAAACCACCACTCTCACAAGTCCTGAGAACCATTCTGGAGGCTAGACCTAGGCCTCTGAGTGTCTGGAATTGGCCTCAAACCCACCCTTCCTCCTCCTCCCGCTGAGTCTTTGGGGTAGAATGGAGTCCCCTCCAAACCTTTAGCCAAGGTGAGTGGTTTCTCTAGCTTTCCAAGTGAAGTTTGGTTCCCCTATAAGATTTCTCATGGCTGATGGCAGGTGAGAAGCTAAAATTGGGGCTGGGGTTGGGGTTAGGATGCTAGTCTGAAGAATGATTGCTTCAGACAAAGTCCCTTAATATCTTCTTCCAGAGAGGTGTCAAAGAGTCCATCAAGTCTTTCCCTGGCTTTGAGTCACCTTCTTCAAGTCTCTGGATCTCAGTTTTGGCACTAACTGTACTACTATGGCAGAATCTCCAGGAATGATGGGCAACTGCAGGGCAAAGTTGGCTTTTCTTCTCAATTTGCTCAGCTAATTTCTACATAATGAATGAATGGCCTGACACTCAGTCCTTCCTGTCATCTGTCCACTGTCCTTAAAACAATAGGTGTTTGAGTTATGTGGTGCAACTGAAAACATGTCATACATCTTTTCTGTCTTTGTCTATCCAGGCAATCATCAGTGGGAAACCTGGGAGCCTAGGAGAAGCTGAGATGGGGAATTTAGAAGCAGGGAATAGGGTGACTCTCTGGAACCCTACTGCTGTTGGCAGTACTCCACCTCTTCTTGGTCCTGTGTGAGTGTGGGTGAAAGCACGTGTCAGGGTGTGTGAGCACACATGTGTGTGTGTGCTCTTGTTCCAAGAGAGAGATGGCAACAGCACAGTGTATGCAGTGATACTGCATTCTGTGTGCACCCAGGCATGCTTGTTCACACGTGTGTGTGGACGCTGTAGCTGGTCCCTGGAGCCTGGTCCTTCCTGCCTCCCTTCCTGACAGGATTGTGGGGGCTGACTCGGTAAGAGCAGGACATGGCAGGAGTTAGCTCATGCCCAGGGACAGGCAGAGGCTGCGATGATAAGATCCTGTATGGTTGGATGCTCCCAGTACTCCCACCTAGAATACCTATTCACAACTGTGTGTAAAGGTATAAACAGGTCTCTGCTCTCTGAGAAAACAAGCGGATGACAAGAACGCATGGTTATGGCTGGGGCATGGCTTATGCTGTCAGACCCCCAGAAATTGACTTCAACTTCTAGCTGCCCTTCTGGTAGGGGGCAGAATATAGCAGCATCTGCTGAATGCTGTCTTCTCAGCTCTTCTAGGCCATAGATTGGATCAATGCAGAGCTTCATTCTTACCCCCACTATTCAAAGCCAGGGCTTCTAGCCATCCTACTGACCAGAAGGGTGGTGGGAGACCCTCAGCCCCAGACAGAATCTGGAACAAGAGCAGAGCAGTTCTTTCTAAGTAGTCTTCATGAGGACCTTCCTGAGGAGGCCTGGCTACCCTGTAGACAGAGGCTATACTGGCTGGGGGGTTGAGAAGAAGGGGATCCAAAGTTTACAATTTTGACTTTGACCAGAACAAAACAGGGGGCCAAGACAGGGTGTGAGCCTCCATCTCCACTCTGGGCAAAATAAAGTTTCATCTCTCAGCTCAGGATGTACCTCTCACCCATGATCCAGGTCTTATGTACTCCTCTGCTGTCCTGGGACAACAAAGACCAACACTTCCATAGTGCTACACTCTGTCTGGCCAACAGGAACCCCTGCCAACCCAGGATAGAACTCCAGCCAAGATTCAGATGCCAGAAGGCCCCTGCATTAATTGCCAGGCCAGATCTCTAAGAAGTCCAAACTCTAGCAAAGATTTTTCTTGTGGGCCCCAGCCATCTATGGAACTGCTTGTTTGTTGTTTATGTCACTGGCCTCAGCCCACAGAAGAGGGCCCAAGATGGGGGATGGGAAGCATCTTCTCCTTTAGAGCTTGGGGAGTGGGTTTTTCCACCCTCATCCCTCTCCCCCAACCCCAGCCCCAACGTGACTCACTCTAGGCTGTGTGGGTTATTACATTATGTTTGAAATTGCCATGGCAACCGGCTGGCAATCAAGGGTAATTGCACTTGTCACCAGGGCAACAGGGCAAAACCCACATCAGCCACTCTCTGTGGTTGCCCTTGAAGTGCAGTAAAGGTCAGGCTAGACCAAAGCCAATGACAACCAAGGGGTTTGTGGGCTTGACTAAAAGGTCGGGATTGTTATGACCCATGGAGTTCATGTACAGAGGCAAGATATGCCTTAGGAATACCAAGGCCCCCACCTTCAATTCCACACCAGGACCCCTGTTTGCCCCTGCACCACTCCATGCCTTAACCATGCTACAGTGCCCAAAGTAAGCAGAACCGGAACTTTTATGTGCTCACAGATGGTACTTATAAATGGCCCAAGGGCCCTCCTCCTCGTACTCACGACGGCTGAGCCACAGACTCTGGAAGGAGTCCCTGGATGCCATGATGGAGCCCCCAAGCCAGGCAGCGACAGCACGGTGGGGAGAGCCTAGCACATTGGCACCAGGGCCCAATTCCTGTCTGAGGCGTTCAGGAAAACCATTGAAGAGGGTACTGCCACCCTCCAGCACCACGTTGGCCAGCAGCAGCTCTTGTTGCTTGGCTTCCAGCTGACTGATGCTTAGGAGGGCCAACTGTGGGAGACCCGGCTGGTTGAGGCCTAGCAGGTTGGGCTGGAAAAGGGCCTCAGGGCAGCGGAAGCGCTCAGAGCCCAGTGTGATGACCTGCTTGTCTGGGAGAACAAAGTCCACCTGGGCCTGGCCCTGGGTACGGGCCATCTCAGCTGCCATATCCATAGTCACATAACAATTTGCCTCCTTAATCTGGTTGAGCAGTCCTGCCTTGGGCGATGAGTGGCTACCTGCCAGGAGCAACTGAGCCAAGTATTCAGTGAGGTCACAACCAGCAACATCCAGCCGATAGGTGTCAAGTGGAGCCAGGTCCCCAGTGAGGATGGGTGCCACATAGGAAGTGCCATGGCCACTGCCCAGTACCAGCCCAGTAGTGCGCCCATAAGCATAAAGTGTCAACAGGGCCTGATGCACTGTCTGCATGGCAGGCACGTGGAAACGCTCAAAGAGTATCTCAGCTACCTTTTCCCTGTTGGTGCGTGGTGAGATGGGTGAGTCTGCCACAAGTACAGCCAGCTCCTCAGGCTGCACACCCAGCCTGCAGTAGAACAGGTGCTGCCATAGCACTTCCAGTGCATCCCAATCAGACACTACACCCCGGTTCAGCACTGGGTACGAGCCCTCTTGGTTCTCCGGTACCACATACCGGGGTTGGCCCTGGGCTGAGTGCTGCAGCAGCTGAACACATGAGGGCACCACGCTGAGAACATGGTCCTCCCCAGCCAGCCCTGATTTGGTGAAACCAGTGCCTGTGTCTATTACTATGGCTGCCATGTCCTGGTAGGGACCCAGGGAGTGGCGGCAAATTACTGGGGGCTGCAATGGCAGCGCATCTATGGTAGATACCAGCTCATTGCAGGTCCCATGGAGCAGGCCCAGGTGCGTGACAACAGATGAGTGTGTGACGTCCTCAGCTGTCATCTTCAGCCTGGCACTCTGGGGCTCAATGTCCACCATGGCCATGGGCAACACCTTGTAGCCAGTGCCAGGTGTGGTGAATGCGATCAGGGAAAACTGTTCCTCCGAGCTTTGTGCGGCCCCAATGCTGACTTTGTCTCTGCTCACATAGATACAGGTCTCTTCAGGGGCCAAAGGCACCTGGAGTGCTCCCACATGAGTAGACATGCCCAAGGCCTCACCTTCCTTGCACAAGGTGGAGGCCTGCCCAGGCTCCTCGGTGATAGAGAACCCTTCTGAAGGCTTTTTGGTGGAGAGGGGTTCTCTGGAAAAACAAGGCTGTCCAGTAAGAGTTACTTGCCTTGTGAGAAGAAGTTGCCTGGTGAGGGGGTGCTGACCAGGAAAGGAAGCCTGCTTGGTGGAGGTGGGCTGTGTTGGTCCTGTGTGAAGGACCTGAACAGCCACAGGGGGCTGCTCTGTAGAGGGGAGCTGGTCAGCTAGAGGGGGCTGGCCAGCAGTAGGAATCTTTCTGGCAAGGGAGGACTCTTCAGCTGGGGGGAGTTGACCAGTGAGGGGGGCCTTCCCAGCATCTTCAGCTAGAGGATTGTCAGGGTGCACAGTAATGAGTTCTTTCTGGTTGTGACTATTCATGTCCTCCTCGAAAAGGGTTCTGGGTAGCTCCTGTGGATTGGCTGGTAAAGCAGGTTCTGGGATCTGCTCTGAGTTCAACCACTGCAATTTCTTGGTCTGGATCATGGAGGCATCTGGCATCTTGGAGGTGTCCAGCATCCAGACGGTATGACTAGGTTCATTTTTTTCTGCATCAGATTTAGACCAAACAGGATTGGGGACATGGGCTAGTATCCTCTCACCAAACTGGAGCGGCATACCCAGTGGGATGGGCCCAGTGAGCAGTCCAAGCCTGATGGGAGACTCAGTACCAGGAGAGTTCTGTAACTCTAGGTTGAGCTTGGCCTCCTTGGGAAGTAGAGTCACCTCTCGGTAGCTGCCAGATGAGAGACTGGAAGGCACAGGGCTGGAAAGCATGGGTGTGGTGGTCCAGAAGCTGGAGCGATTGCTATCAGGGGAGTGGATGGGCATGACTAATGACCGCATAGTCTCAGGGATGTAGATGGATGGGTGGTTGGGCATGACACCCACGAGCACTGCCCGTGAGCCCATGGGGTCATGGCACAGTAGTCCTAATCTGCTGTTGCCCGTGGTCATATCAAACACCAGCACACGATCTTCCATGCCTTCTTGGAGTTGGCAGGTGGGAGCACTAGAGGGGGATATCAGCGTAACTTCCCTGGGAGACTGGACTGGGAATTGCCCATGGGAGGCTGCTTCGTAGACAGACAGTGGCACATTGGCCCTGGTGGTATTGCATATGTTCAGGGGCTGCTGGTCTAGTTGAGAGCTACAGCCCTCCTGGCTAATCCTCTGGGACTTGGGGGTTCCTGGAGGTTCTAGGCCTGGTGTTGGGTTGCATGACTCAACCAGTGTCTTCTCTACCAAGTTCTCAGGTTGTTCAGGTAGCTCTTTTCTTAGAATAACCTTGTGCTCCTGGCCATGGTCTAAGGTCCTTATTTGAGTGGGTACTGTGGTGAGAGGCACCTCCTGAGGCTGGAAATTCACTTTATCCTGGCAAGATGTGCCCACATTGGAAGACTCAAAGGGGACTGACCATTGGCTTCCACATTTCCTGAGCTGCAGATCTTGGGACAGATTCTTGGTGATGGCATCAGTCAGGTTGGCAAGAGTAGTATTCCGAGCTGGAGTTGGAGAAGGCAGCGACATAGAAGAAGGTGTAGCTTGAGCAGGACATGGACTCTTGCCTTGGCCTTGATCTTGGGCTGGAGTCTGGGCAGGAGTCTGAACTGAAGCTGTAAGAGGACCCTGACCTATAACTGCCCCAATCTCCTCTGAGGGAAAGTAGGGTAGCCACCGGCTCTTCCTAGTGCCTAAAGGGACCATCTGTTCAGCAATACTGGGGCCTTTGCCCCAACCCACCAGGACTTTGGATGGGACTTTGTCCTCCCCCTGAACCTGCACCTGAATTTGGGGGTGGCAGGATCCATGCTGGGTTATGTCATTGATAGTGCTATTGTCACTGCGAGTGCACAAAGGTAGGGCCAGGGTCCCGTCTTCCATGATAAGATGTGGCTGGGCTCCCACAATAGGGCCACTGGGGGAGTGTCTTGGTGCATTCTGGGAGGCCTGTTCACATCCCCACTGGGAGCCAACCCGGGGAGGGTGAATGGGCTCAGGGGTGTGAAACTGGGAGGCTGGATCACAAGCCCCTTCAGTAGTGGCCTCAGTAGATAATGACAAGCCCTGCCTGAAGAATAGGGATCCTGAGCTTATCCATGGCTCTTGAGACCCTCCAAAGTCACCTCCCACCTGCTGGCTTCCAGCTGAGAGGGGGCCTTGGGGACCCGATGGATCAGGGCCCCCCACCTTCTTGATGGCTTCCATAGTCCTGCCCCATACCCTATACGCCCTGCCCCCACTTTGTTGCCATGGTAACCCTATGCATCACAGCCCCCAGTGACCTGGGAGATAACAGAGTGTGGGAAACTAAGGAGCCCCACCCCCAGAGAAATGGGAGTCTGCCCAGCAGGCTCTGGTAGTGTAGTGGTTACAAGTCAGGCTGCCAACCTCAAGGTCAGCAGTTCGAAACTACCTGTGGTTCCAGGGGAAAAAGATGAGGCATTCTGCTCCCATAAAGATTTACAGCCTCAGAAACCTTGTGCAGGGTCACTATGAGTCAGAACAGACTCCATGGTTGTTGTTGTTGTTGTTAAGTGCCGTCAAGTTGGTTCCGACCCATAGTGACCCTGTACCCATGGTACTTAACAACAATAATCCAGCCAGGCTCTGGTAGACAGAAAGACCCAGAAACCCTAGTGAAGCCTGCCAGTCCCAGGTCAAGCTCTTCCCTCCTTCCCGGTCAGTTGATTACTCTGCCCAGGTCAGCCCCAGAGTGAGCAAAGTACCTCCAGGGTAGGGGTGGGTCAGTGTAAGGTCAGAGGAGAAAGATAGATGGGAAAGACTCTGAGGAAGCTTCTGGCCCCCTAGTTACTCAAGATGCTAGGCCTGATGTTTTCTCCTCATTTCCCATGTGTCAGGCAACCTGAGACCCAAGTCTTGACCCAGGAATGCCGTTTGATGTGTGTGGGCAAGAGTCCTCCTGAGAGACCAAAGCCCCTTCATCATTTATTCCTGGGAGACAGAAGGCAGTGAGGGGCTCAGGCTCAGGTCCAAGTTCCCTTCCCCCGCATTCCCCAGCTTCCGCTCCAGGGACAGCAGCTCCTTGGCAGTCTTTGCTGCTCCAGATGGTTCTGTTCTGCCTGTGCTTCATAAAGCCCCCTCCCCAGAGCCACAAGTTCCAGAAATCCAAGACCAATATCCTGCAGGGGTGGAGATGGGGGTGGCAAGGGCAGGGTGGGGACTCTGCTCAGAATCCTCAAGTCAGAATGTTCTAGCTCTTGTTACATTGTGTCAGCTTCACATTGATTAGATGCAGGACAGTCAGGGCAAGAAAACTAGGCACAGGAGTAGGGTGAAGTGGCCACAGGATGGGTGAGGTAGCAATTATAGGATGGGTCACAAAGTAGGCAAACAGTGAATACAGGGCTGGCCACACAATACAGTAGTGATGTGATTGGTATAGGACTGGGTAAATGGTGGGGATATGGCAGGTACAGGGCTAGGCACAGGACTGGCTAAGCAGTGGGGACATGGTGGGGACACAGTGAGGATGTGGCAGGTACAAGATTGACTACACAGTGAACCAGGGCTTGCCACATAATGGAGACATGTTGGGCACAGTATGGGTCATACAGTATTGATATGGAAGGCAAGGGGTTAGGCATACAATTGGATCATGGCAGGGTCAAAATTGGCCACACAGTGCCAACAATACCACGCTGGAGTAGGAACACAGAAAACTATGTATACAGTGGACACCGAGTATACACATAGAAAATGTAAGTGATCAGACAAGGTGGCCAGTTTTAGTCTTCATTTCTTAGCTAGGGAAACAGAGGGACAGGGTAGAGAAGGGAAGAGTGAGATGTGCCTGAGCCACTAGCCCTGGCCCAGAAGTGGTCTGTAGCCACAGAACAGACCTAGGCAGCAATCTGAGAAGCCTTGCATTGCCACAGACTTGAGTCTAGTAGAGAGGTTCTGACTTGGGTGGGGTAAGATCTTCCTCCCTCCCTCAGCTCTGATCTCTGGGCCTCTTCCACTCTGTCTTTCAAGGTTGTGTCCTTTCAGGCCTCAGTCTTTCCACCCAGGAAACAGGTTTGTGAAGAGTGCAACTGCAGACTTGTTCTCCAAAGCAGTGTGTTTTCACAGAGGCTAAAAATAGTGCTTCCTGTTGGCTGCCGGGTGCAAGGCTATGTGACCAGGGACCAACACTAGCACTGTGCTGCATTTGCACCTTCCTGACTCAGGCTGGGCAAAGCCTGATTCAGCCACCTCTCAGCCCCCAGGGTCCCCTCCCCTTCCTTGGATCCTGCTTTGGGGTAAGAATGAAGACAGATGGCTTTGGATACTGAGGGACAGCAGTGCACCCTCATGATGTGACCCAGGAAGGCAACAGAGTCCAAGCAAGGGCTTGTAGCCTGAATGTATGCACATGTGCAGACACTCGCTCACCCTCTCTGGTTCATTGCTGTACTGAACACTGTTAAATTCATTGATTTCTGGTAAGCTGTGTTTTCTACTACAGAGAGATGCCTGTGCAACACTTGAGCTAGCTATGCCTGGGAGGGCTGGGGAAGCATTGAAGGAGGCTCTGAGAGCCCCCTATCTGTCCATTGAGTCATCCCCTACAGACTGTAGGCCCTCCTTTCTAGAACTGTGGAGCTTTTATCAACAACTGACCTGAGGGCTCCCAAGTGAAGAAATAGAGGGGTTGAAGGAAGGCCTAGAGGAGACATACAGGAGAGAGGGGATATCAATAATAAGTGACATTGGCAATAATAAGTGACATTCTGGGCTAGGGAAGTGTGAAGTACATGCAACCCAGGCTCACAGCAATTCAATAAGTTAGGTACTTTCCTCATTTTACAGATCAGGAAACTGAGGTATAGGGATATGTCATGGATTGAATTGTGTCTCTCCAAAATATGTGTTAAGTTGGCTAGGTCATAGTTCTTAGTGATTTGACTTCTATGTAATGGTGGTAATTTGGCTGTTGTGTAATGATGCAATCATTCCACATGATGAGGTCTGATTAAGCAGCCAACCGGTTATAAGGGGATTAGGATGGAATACAACATCCTGCTCCCGTAAAGATTTACAGCCTCGGAAACCCTGTACAGGGTCACTATGAGTCAGAACCGACTCCACAGCACATAACAACAACAACAGCATCCTTACTCAAGTCACAGCCCTGATCTAAGGAGAATTTCCCTGGGATGTGGCCTGCCTCCTCTTTTATCTTACAAAAGATAGAAGGAGAGAAAAGCCTGCAGAGAAGGAAAAGAAAGAAGACCAATAAAGAATCGCTGGAAGCAGAGCACTTCCTTTCAGCCCAAGGTCCTTGTGCTGAGAACCTTCTATAGATCCAGGAAAAGATTGATGCCAAACAAATGGAGATCTCCAAGGAATACTAAGCCCACAAATGCTGAAAGGAAACAAGGTCCTTCCTCCTGAACTGTGAGCCTACACAGAAAACTTTCTCCTAAAGCTGGTACCCTGAATTTGAACTTCTTGTGAGACAATACATTTCTGTTTGCTAAAGCCCTGTACTTGCATTATTTCCACTATAGCAGCACCTAGATAACTAAAATAGCAGGGGAAAGAACAAGTAGAGATAGCCAGAACTTGTGGTGCCATTTGTTGTTGTTAAGTGCCGTTGAGTCAGTTCCAATCCATAGTGACCCTGTATAGAGTTTCTGAGGAATGGCTGGTGAGCTTGGACTGCCAAATTTGCGATTCAAACCAACTTTGCCACTACAAAGTGCCATATGTAGGATTTGACCTTGCCAGAGGGGAGCCAGCATGCTTTACTTCAGGTACTGCAGCCCCAAGTCCCACATCCAAGCTGTGTCTAGCATAGACCCGCTTCTCCCAATAGTTTAGCAGGTGGCTCAGGCCTAGGAGGGGACATTTTCCCTTTTGAAATCTCTAAACTACCTAGGAACCTAGTAGTACTGAGTTCAGACTAGCAAAACACCACATGGCTGAGTCTCTTCTACTCAAAATTCTCAACTGGCTAGGGTCTCACTCAGCAGGGTAAGTGAAGGGAATCCCAGGCTAGGCCTCTTCTCCCAACCCCCAAAGATTGGGCAAGGACATCATCTCTGTTCCTTTCTCCCCTCCCCC